GATGGTCATCTTCTCCGTTTTTCTTTTTAGTGGGGCCCACATGAAAATTTTGTTTTCTCTTTTTCCAGTTTCAATCAAGTTCCCCAAAAATCACAAGTTATCTTCGTTTCTCTTTTCATTTCCTTTTCAAATTTAAAACCCTAAACCTACTACTACTCCTGCAAAATTAAAATCAAATATTACCCCAAACCCACCCTCACTCTCCAGCTTCTTCAGTGAATTCAGCTTAACAACTCAATAGTTAATTGTGATGAAACCCAGATATGGGTTTCAAACAAACTCTGTAGAACTTTGCAGCATACGAATACCAATCAAAATTTAGAAAATATCAGATGAAGATCTACCACAAAAGAAACGCACAAGAAACGCACCAGATGAAGAAAATATCTATAGCAATCACAAGAAAATATCAGATGAAGATCAATCACAATCTATCTACCACAAAAGAAACGCACCAGATGAAGAAAATATCTATAACAATCAAAACAGCTCCGAAACTAAAATAGGATAGTTCGCGATTTCATCTCGCAAATTATAAATTTTTTTTGAAACCCAGATCTGGGTTTGTCTGAAACCCAGATCTGGGTTTCAAAGAGGAAGATCTCTCCTCTCCCGTTGTTGGTTCAGTAGGCCTGAGAAAACCCAGATCTCTCCTCTCCCTTCTCTTCTGGTAAACGGATATATTCTGCTTTTCTCGTCCACTGCTCCACAACCACCTCCGGCACGAGTTCTACAACTAGGAACCCTCGCTCTTCTTCCTCCACCTCTAATACTTCCGGCCGCGAGGCCATCCGCGCCATCCGCCTCAAGAAGGTACCGGATATTAATCTCTCTTCAATGTCTCTACAGGCTTGCTGGTTCAGGGGCCTAAGAAAACCCAAATCTGGGTGTAGGGACGGCAGAGTGCGCGGCGGTTTGCTGCTGTTGTTCCTGCACGGTGATGGAGCTACTGGTGTTGGGGTTCTGCAAGGTACCTACGAGGGCTGTGCAAGAAGGCGTGGAAGAAGAGGAAACGTCGACAAATCCTGAAGATGAAGAAGCAAGGGGTGATGGGGGAGGAAATAGGAAGGAGCTGGATGCGAAGGCAAATCAGGTGGCGACGAAGAGCCAACTTGGCATTTCGGAGGTGGTGGCAGGGGGTGATGGGGGGAGGAAACCTAGATCTGGGTTTGAGAGAGAACCCAGATCTGGGTTTGCAGAGTTAAGGGAAAAGGCAAGGTAAAGGAGAAGGAGTGAAAGAGGAAGACAAGATGAATCGGATGAAAAAATATATATCATTAATTTTAAATAAATAAAAAATGCCAACTCATAAAAAAAATTAGCCAACTATGTTTTTTTTTTCCATGTCATTGATTAAAAAAGAAAAGAATTGATTTGCTGTCATTTTAACGAGCCACCTGTCATTTAACTGACGGAAGGACTATTTTGGTACCAAAAATGAAAGTTTAAGGATAATTTTAGTACTTTTTAAAGGTGAAGGACAATTTTGGTACTAAAGTGATAAGTTGAGGGACTAAAATGGTACTTAAACCTATTAATTATCTTGGCTAGAGAAATACTATTGTGTCTTGTTTCTGGAGTTGGGAGTCTAAATGAGAGTATATATGGTATCAAATATATTTCTGCTCATTTCCTGGTTTTTTAGGTTTGTATTGGCTGACTAATCATTTAAATCTAGAATTTTATTGCTGGAATTTTTTTATGTTTTGAACTGGGTGCTGACTATTTGCGAATTTAGGATTTGTTGTAGCATTTTTATGTTTTGGAGCTAGTACTTAGTTAAGAACTGAAGAATGAGGGATTTTCCTTGATCGAATGTGTGAGTTCTTTGGGTCCTATGGTTTTAGCCATTCGTGTGTTAAAGAATTGTTCAAAATAGCCGTAGACAATTGAATTCTAGTAAATCCCATATTTTTGCCATGCAACTGTTTATGTGGTTTTGTTGATACAGTGAAATGCAACTAGCACTGCATGCATTTCTATTAGCATTAATCCAGGCATGCAAATATACCCATGCGATAATCACAATCAACTTAATCTCACATCAACTAAATATTTAATCCAACTCCCTATAAGCCTCGACATTTCTTTGGACATTTCTAATGTTTAATTTACTATTTCTCTAATGTCAAGAACAGCAAATGGTAGCTTAGAAACAGTTTTGCTGACAGGTTTCTGCTTTCTACCCCTTGCACATGCTTTCTTAGCCATCTCTATTGAATAGTCCAATTAACTGGTATATACGAAATTGTTAAAGTAAATTGTTTCTTTATTATGAGTGTAAAAAATAAGATTCTTACGTAGAAAAAACATAAGAATGGTGAGTAATTTAAATATATCAAGATCTATAAAATTAAATGGTTAGTTTTTTAATTTTAAAATTGTGTCAAAATATATAATAAATAATTAACTGTATTTTTTTAACAAAATGTCTCTCCAAGTAATATTAGAGGCAATGACATGGCAAAATCAATGGTAATTGATCAAATTGGTCTCGGTTTGGTGTTTAGGGAATATGAAAAGGTAACATTGCTTATAGTTTTCCATTAAACCATAGGTGTTCTTTACAAATTTCAGATTTGTTAATATCATTGCATTATATTTATTTTAATAGATATTGATGCTCAATATTGTTTATTTTCTCTTCTTAGGTTCTCTTTGTTTCTTGGGATTTTGCAAGATGAAGTGGATCCA